GCCACCACCAAGAGGCCACGGATGAGCAGGTGCCCCACCAATGTTGCATCAGATTTCAGAGGAATACAATCAACAACTGTCACATTACGTGCACACATCCAACGTAAGCCCTCTCCTGACTTCAGAAACAAGAAACCACGGCCGGGAGGAAATGTCGTGTTCCTCCTGGGCGGGCACTCTTGCATGAGACGCAAGAAGCTTTTCAATTATCTCCTGCACGGGGGCAGCCATATTTCCTTGCAGATTTGGGTTTAATCCTGCAAGGAAATCTCATGCTCTATCCAAAATTCACCCCTGAAAAACTATCCCTTTGCAGGTGCTGCTTACAATTAGTGCCCCAGAGGTACCTTCAGCACCCCCAGCATGGAGGGCTGGAGGGCTTAACCTCCCCAGGGAAGGAAGGCAGCGCCATCCTTCATCCTTTCTACCAGGAGGGATTAAGACTGCTTTCAAGTTTCCAAAATCTCCATTGGGTGACCCCATCCTGTGCCCCTGCCCTGCCGTCAAAGCTGCTTCTCAGAAGCAAGTTGCCAAATGATCAAAGCAGGGGGGAGGGGAAAAGGAGGGGTGCAGGGGGAGTGCTGGGGTGGTGAGGGTGGTTTACTGGGAAAAAGACAGACCTCTCTGAGAATCTCTGAGGCCCAGAGCACAAGCACCCAGCAGGCAATGGCTTTTACTGGTCCCTGTCCTATGAGACGTGGCTAATAATTTCTGGCTTTAGGATCCTTCAAAGCCATTGGTCTGGGAACTGATTCTTTGCCTGGATATCCTGGACAGGACAGAGCAGAAAGGCAGAATGCAAATACACTCCCCGAGGGGAGCACAGAAGAAAAGCCACCCATGGACACTGGAGAGGGACCAGGATGCGGAAGGGACATGGCTCTTCTTCTGATAGTCTGTTGTTTAGGTGGAGGGTGTGGTTCCAAATCTCCTGCAAATTAAGTTCGATTTAAGAAAAAAGGTATCTCATCAGTGTCTGTTTTATTGAAACATCAGCAAGGCAATTCAGTGCTAGCTATCAAAATCTTAAATGCACACACCCTTGACCCAAACAATTCCACCTCTGGGACTCTATCTCACAGACATACTCACTTAAGTGTGCAAATATAGCACAAAGGACAGTTACCATATTATGTATAGCAATTATCAGTACATAACCTTGTATTGTGTATTTCTGTATAACACAGTGTTGATTCATTATTATGAAACTCAGCCAAGAATACTGTAACTCATGCCTGAACGAAGCTTTTCAAACATACATATTTTCTCCCAACGGCACACCACAGCCTTCTTGCACTCAGGACCTCCAGACAGCAGCTCAGCACTATGATTGGGGACTATTTAAAAGAGCAAAATCACCAACAAGTGGAAAAACGAGACCACATGGCATTAAACAGACTATGAGAGCTGAGATGAGACAGCAGGGTGTTGCCTTGTTCCATCTCAGCTGCGAACACGAGTGCAGGACGGCTCACGGCTTTGGCCGCTCTGAGCATGTCCGTGAATGACCGCAGAAGCTCTCTGAGTACTGATTTTGAGGTTACAAATAAATTTCACTGAGCAGGTGAATTCGCAGGTACCGAATCTTCCAATCACGAGGCCTGACTGTGTGTTGGTATATGCTCAGAACATTGCTAGAAAATACACTAGATCAATTCTGGAAGAAGACACGAGAGCCTGCTGTTCCCAGAAGCCATCTCTGAAGACTGGGATGGGCAACAGATGGAGAGAAAAAGAAAGAATGAGAAACAGGAGGAAGGGAGGGAATCTGGCAGTTTTGTTTACTGGGCAGTTTCTATGGGTGTAAATCTATGATTCATCCCCTCCCACCCTAGTAAATGAAGATAGATTTTCCCAATTATGAAAACATATAAGTATATCTCGGTCTGGAAGAATGCACAACCAACTATGGGAATGGGACTACGGGTTCGAAAGGAAACTGATTTTCTACACTAAGTTAGTTCTCTATCTTTTGAATTTTTTACAATAAAAATATACTTCCCATTTCTTATATCATAACAATAATTTCTTACATTTAAGGCCACACTACCCTAGCAAAAAGGCCACTGGGCCCGCCTCATGTCCTCTGGCTTTCTCCCACTGTATTTCTTCTTGCTGCTTCATGCCCTGGGCCTAAGGACGCAACACCCACCCACCTCTGAAGAGCAACCGCCAGGCAAAAAACCAAAACTCCAGGTTCACTTGGAAAGTTCAACACGGAATTACCATCTGACCTGCACTTCCAATGAGCACTTTCACTGAAAGAAGCGAAAACAGGCGTTCAAATAAGACTGGTACCTAAACGTCCACAGCGGCACTAATCATGTAATAGCTCGGAGGTGAAAATAACCCAATGTTCATCAACAGACAAATAAACAAACAAAGGCTGTGCATCCATAAAATGGACCGCACTCTGCCACTACAAGGAATGAAGTACTGTACATGCTATAGTACGGATAACCTTGAAAACATCCAGGGAAAGACGCCAGACACAAAAGGCCACATATTCTATGATGCCTTTTATATGAAATATCCAGAACAGGCAAATCCATGTGGACAGGAAACAGATGAGCAGTTTCCAGGGACTGGGTTCCCTTTGGGGTGATGAACATGTTCTAAAACTAGACAGAGGTGACAGCTGCACAACAGCGTGAATGTACTAAATGCTACGGAATTTACACTTTAAAATGATGAATTTTATTCTATGTTGCAGTATGAATTTTACCTCAATGACAGATAATAAAAATCAAACTCTGAGCTGTGTGGCCTTGGGCAAGTTACTCAACCTCTCTGAACCTATAGAATGAGGAGATGACAGCATGACCACATAGGCTACTTGTGGATTCCATGTGATGTGTGTGTAAAGTGACTGGCACAGGGCTGGGTATGTAGAAAAAGACCGGGTAAGCAACGAAGCTGCTGTCGCCAGAATGACTGAGGATGATGTCACATCGTCTCAGTCAACTCACCTGAAAGCAACTCACCTGAAAGTTGTGGGGTTTCCATATTTTCAAATTATCTTTTTAAGTAAACAACAACAAAAAGGCAGTTGGGGGAGGGGTGCTGTATCAGACGAAAGATTCGAGGAGAGTGGGTCTCCTCAATTTATAGTATATATATAGCTAGACTATTTTTAGCCTGTCCTGGGTTAAGTAGGAAACCCAAACAATTAACTCGGACGTGACAATGGGTGGCTTTGCCACTGGTCCACCACGGAACAACCTATAGGCTGTTTTTTCTTCCACCTCCTTCCACAGGTGTGTAGATATGGGTCCTGGACTGACCCGTTTTATGCGGGCAGAAGGGCCTGTATATGCGTGAAAAGGTTCCATCTGTGCAAAGGCCCTTGTCTGGAAGCAGCTCTCAAAACCTAAGAACTGACAGTGGGGCAAGCAAGCAGCCCTGTGGCTCTTCTCTCTCTGGGAATTATCTGGTATAGAATTCACAGAACTTCAAACGTCCTGAGGCAAGGTGACCCCCCTGTGGCTGACAGTGCGCCTGGGGGGAGGGGAGGGAGGACTGAACAGGATTTCAGGCTGTCATGGAAACTTTTCTTTCCTTGGGCCTCTGAGCATATGGCAGGTGTCCTGAAAACTCCCGTCCTGCCACCCGAGGCTGGCTGCTGCCCTCAGACATGTGGGTGGGGGCGTCTGCCTCTCTGTCTGCTGGGCCCCCTCCCTCGGCCACAGCCCCAGCAGCACAAAGGAGTCTCCAGTGTGTGCCTCATGTCCCAGCTCCCCAGACAGACACTGGGGGACAGCCTGAGTGGCCCCATGGAAATCTAAGTCCCCTGCCCCCGGCAAGCCTCGACGCAGCTCACAGATCACAGACAACGGGAGGCCAAAGGCCACGGCGCAGGCCTCTCCTGGCCGCCTGAAATGCGATGCCCATTCTGCCCTCCACTGACAGGGATGTCTCGCACGCCCCGCACCTCTTCCCAAGACCAAAGAGAGCTGCATGTTGATTTGAGGCTTTGAGGTAGCAAACAGGGTGGGCTCGGCCAGGCTGGCTCCTCTCTGCAACACGGGAAATCCAGCTGGCTCCAGGTAGAGAAAATCACAAATTGCGAGGCTGTGAACCCAAAGCGGCCAGAGCAATTATAAATAACAGCAGGTGGAAGGTGCCAGCGTGGAAAACAAGACAGAATTTTGAAAAACCTAAAGCTTCTGGAACTGGGTGATTGTGCCTGTGGGGGTTGGTGGCAGTGTGCCAGGAGCAGACAAAGCCATGGGAGAAAAGGGGTGCCGTCTTCTTATAGCATCACCAGGACTCGAGGGTGGGAGCGGTGCCCATAAAATAAAACAGGACAATAACCTATGGTGGTGGAGACTGTAACATCTGAATGGATTTTAAGGAGAAAATACTAAATGTGAGGAAATGTCATGCTGGCCGCTGGCCACTGTGGGACACTCCGCTTCACTGCAGTAATGGCAACGAGGTGAAGTGTGGAAGCCCAGCTCTAAAGGAACTCTCGCTCCACTCATTTCATTTATCCCATACATATATTTTTTTAAAGTCTGACTATGTTTCAGGCTCCCTTCCCTCCCTGAAACTCACTGTTTAGTGGGGAAGTGGGTGTTAATTAAAAGTCCATGATGCAATGCCCTGGCCGGGTGGCTCGGTTGGTTGGAGCGCCATCCTGTACACCAAAAGGTTGTGGGTTTGATCCCCAGTTGAAGCACATATGGGAGACAACTGATCCACATTTCTCTCTCTCCTTCCTTTCTCTCTAAAATCAATAAAAACCCAGTACCTTTGAGGGAGGATTAAAAAAAAAATTTTTTTCTTTAAAAGTTCAAGATGCTAAAATCCTTATCACTTACTTAGCCTGGTACATTACAGATGCTAAAGAAAATGCTGATTATTACTAATAATATTAGTTCCCACTCAGTTAAGGATGAGCACAGAAGACGTGCAGACGTGGAAATGGACAAAGATCTGGGGGCACCCAGGCTCCCGGGGCAGGCGGCAGCCTCGGGGAGGAGGCGGTTTCCACGTACTTGCGAGCAGGAGGCAGGAGACGGCCACGGCGTACAGCTGCTTGGAGGTGGTGATGTTATAGCGATCCAGAAAGTGGTCCAGCAGGTAGACGGCCAGGTGCCGGGCCGCGGGGCAGAGCTGGCAGTGGCTGCTCAGCAGGGTCAGGATGTCCACAAAGAACCTGCGGCTCTTCAGGAGCGGGGAGTGGGCTCGGAAGGCAGGCAGCTTCAGTTCCTGCAACAGGCAGGGCAGAAGGGGGGTCAGGGCCGCCTCCCGAGAGCCTCGGATGCCCCAGAAAGGCAAGAGGTGGGAGCCTGCCTGCTGGATGGTAAGGGGGCACCGATTCCCTCCATACCTATGCTGTTCACTTTCCTTGGGGTCCCAGGATGGCAGCCCCTCTATTCCAGAAACTCCTGGACCATGTCCCGTGCACCCTCACCGAGCTCAGGCTCAGAAAGTGTCAGGGAACGTCACGATGACAGGGGCAGGTGAAGGGGACAATCGGCTTCATTCCCAGGAAAAGGCTGACTATTGGATATACACAGAATGTAGGAGACGCACATCCAAGGTGTGCCCCCTGGCCATCTGCCTTCATCCGTTTCCTCCTCAGCAGCTGAGGGTAAAATGAAAGATGGACATGAAGCACCCAGCACAGTTATCTCTCAGGGTCCAAGGCTTAATTCCCTCTGCGGCTGGGACTGTGACACAACTTTTTAAAAATTCAATGTAGCCTGGAAGGGCGTGGCTCAGCAGTTGAGCGTTGACCTGGGATCCAGACAATTGGGGTTCGATTCCCAGTCAGGGCACATGCCCAGGTTGCGGGCTCAGATCCCCAGTTGGGGGCATGCAGGAGGCAGCTGATCAATGAATCTCTCATTATTAATGTTTCTATCTCCCTCTCCTTTCCTCTCTCGGAAATCAATAAAGATATATTTAAAAAAATAAAAATAAATGAATAAAAATTCAATGTAAAACAGTTGTTAAAATAATAGTACAAAGAACTCCCAAATACTCATACACAAAAAAGCCCTGAACTGTATACTTTAAAAGGGTGATTTTTATGGTATGTGAATATCTCAGTAAAGCTGTTAGGAGAAAATAACATGGACACACCATCCACTCACTCGCAAGGCATTTAGGGCGCAGCAGGAGAGATGGTGACCAAGTAAGACAATTACAGAATTTCAAACTGATCAATCCTAAGAAGGAAAGCTTTGACCACTGTGGGAGTCCCCTATGTCCTCTGAGGGCTGGGAGGTCTGCCCTGGGAAAGAGAAGCTGGGGTTGAGATATCATGCTGGGTGAGATCTTTCCTCTTCTGGCTGCCTCCCCCAGAGAGCCTGAGGCCAGGGCACAGCTTTTTCGGGAGCCCCAGAGCTTTGCTATGGAAAAGTGCTCAGAGCCTGAATAAATTAGTTCCTCTCCTTATGTCTGCATAGGAAGAACCAAAGTCTGAAATAGTCTTATAGCAACACTCCCCTCCTCCTGCAGGCTTTCCTTAACTAGTGACAGATCTGAGGCTGGAAGCCTTTTGGTGTATCTTTTTTTCCCCTCAACCTTTTATTTATTCATTCGTTTATCTTTTTATCCTGGAGAAGAGCTTTTACCCCCAGCTTAACTTCTGATTAATACATGATTTCCAAACATTTTCTCTCCTTCCGTGGGTTGACTCCCTTGTGTGTTCTTCATCTTCATTATTTGTAAGTTTATTCGGCAACATGGGACTTTAAACTCCTTGAGGGTGGGGGTCTCATCCTTGGTTTCCCATCACCCTAGTGTGACTAAACCACAGCCAGGTGCCCAGGTACCTAATAACTACTGGTGAGGAAATGAAAGGAGGGAGGGGAGGAAGGGAGGAAAGGAGGACTGCCGTGCAGTGGTGAGTACAGAGTGCCCTGGGCCCACTGAAGGCGTGGCGAGCTGTAGAGAGCGGCGAGTCAGGGGGGACTTCAAGGAAAAGAGCTCTTATCCAGCCAAGTTTTGGAAGGACGTCTAAGACTTGACCTGTTGAAGATGCAGGAAGGAAAGAATGCTCAGCAGGACGAACAGCACCTGCAAAGCCACACAGGCGTCCCATCTGGGAATCTAGAGTGCTTTAACAACCAGATGGCTGGGGCATGCCTGGACAAAGCCGGCCAGGAGAGTGGGCAGGGCCCCAGCTTGTAAGTCCTGCTAAGATATCTGGCCTGTCCTGAGGGCAATAGGGAGCCACTGAAGGGTTTAGAGCAGGGCATCCACAAGGACAAAGTGGCCACACATGATGATCTCTCCCCCAGCCTCCTCCTGGGTTACGGCCAGACAGCTAGTAGCAGCCACCAATGTGGGGCTGCAGCTCCCTATAACAACGGTCCACCTCCCCACCCTCCAGCAGCCCCCACTAGCTTGCAGGCTGCTGGCGTATTTCCTCTAAGCCCTAAGACTTTAAGGCTCTTGACAAGAAGCAACACAATCACAGATCCCTGGGCTCTGTCCCGGCAGCTACTGGAAATTAGCCAAGTGAACTTTGGCCCAGCTGCACTGTCCTCATGAAGACAGTTCAAAGCCCCAAAACATACGTCAGACACGCAACATCCTGACGCCCCTCCCTGCTCAACTCAGCCGGGCTTAACTCCTTCTGGATTTCCCTTTGTGCCAACTGGGAGAACAGACCTCAAAGCAACACACTGTCGGTCTTCCCTCCGTACACCTCCCGGAAAAAGGGTCCACTGGCTTGAGCAGATTCTCACAGGAAGCCACTGGTGCATAAAAGGAAAAGTTATGGGCCCCTGGAAGGGGCGACAATGCACATCAGGGAGTCAGCAGGTAGGGCTTCCTGGAAAAGGCTCGTCTCAAAGATAAGCAGGATTCTGAGAGCCAGGCAGCCGCCTGTGATGCACTTCATCCCCGGTTCCGCTCGTCCCTCAGGTGCTGGAGTAAACGTCCTTCCTAAGAGAGGCTTTTCGACCCCCATCTTCCAAATCAGAGCCCCTCGTTCTCCCTCTTAGCACGCGGGTCTCCGTGGTCAAGTATTCAGTTACTTATTTGTCTCTCCCTGCTACACTCCAGCTCCGGGGCGCGGGGGCCATGCTTGTGCTGCCTACGCCACTTGCCCAGTGCCCGGGATGTGCCTGGCACAGAAGCAGGTGCTCAGAAAATACTGGCACAAGGAAAAAAGAATGAATAGCCATGAAAAGGCATAAAGGAAACGTAAATGCATGTTCCCAAGTGAAAGAAGCCAATCCGAAAAGGTTACATACACTGTGATCCCGACTAGGACATTCTAGAAGGGAGAAACTATGGAGACAGTAAAAATATCCGTGGTTGCCAGGGGTTAGAGAGGGAGGGTAAACAGGCAGAGCACAGAGGGATTTTAGGGAGTGATACCTCCCTGAATGATACTATAATGGCGGGTACATGTCATTTGTCCAGGCCCACAGAATGTACAACAGCAACAGCGAACCCTAATGTAAACTATGGACTTTGGGTAACAGTGATGTGTCAACATAGGTTCATCGATTGTAACAGGTACCACTCTGGTGGGGGACGGTGATAATGGGGGGAGCTTTGTAGGTGTGGGGGCAGGGGTGTATGGGAAATCTCTAACTTCTGCTCAATACTGCTGTGAACCTAAAACTGCTTAAAAAACGAAGTCTACTAAAAGAAAAAAAGGAATACAGGACATCGCTTCTTGTACCAAATACATTCCTCCCCCAACACATGGGGGAGCAGCTTGGCAGATACTGGAGTCAGGCATGTGGATTCTAAATCCCAGTGTCCTCATCTGAAAAATGGGGGTCATGCTGCCATAAATGTGAAGTATTTGGGAGCACTCAGCAAGCATTAGTGGCCTTTCCCGCAAGCTGGGCAATACAACCTCACATGAGGTAAGCTTTTTGCCTCTCTTGGGCTCTCAGAGGGACCCCCTTTGTACAGTGGAACCAACCTTTCTACCTGAGGGTGTAGAGCTGGGCCTGGAGACCTTTGCAGGACAGGAACCCTGCCTATCCCCTCCACAGAGCTCCCAAGCCAAATAGAATCCGGCGCTCTGAGCCTCGGCTTCTTTCTGGTGCTTAGGGGCGATTCTTTGGCAAATGAACAACAATGTAGGACGCCAGCGTGCTGGCCCCGTTTCGTTGGAGAGTTCGGCTGATTACTTCCCTAACCCAATTAGGGGAAAGGCATTCATGACAAGGGCTTTGCTCTAAGGAGCCGCATTCCCCCCAAAGCACTCTTGACCCGAGTCAGCTTGAAGGCCACAGTGTCTGGTGCATGAAGCAGCCCCTTCTGCTGAGCAGCCTGGATTCCAGAAACAAAAGAGCAGCCCAAGCAGGCGGGCGGCCTGTAAAGCTCTCCAGGATTAGGCAGGCACTTGGCAGGCACTCAGCAGCCAGTGGGCGGAAAGGAGGCAGGAACCGGCCAGGCAGGGTGACCTTCCTCTAGGCAGGTGACCTTCCTCTCAGCAGGGACAGCTTCAGTGTGGCCAGCAGAAAGGCTTTGGGGAAGGTACAGATGAAGAGGGGTGGAGGGGCGGACAGAGGCTTCCAGACTTCCCTCTCAGGCTGCTGGCCCTTTATCACCTGAGTCACATAGGAGAGCATGTGCTCTCAGGTGAGATGACCAGGCAGGGCATAGGGACAGATGGCCTTGATGGAGTTT